GTTTATTCTGTATCTTAACAATGAATACGTGCCAATGGCTCAGGAACTGCCAAAACTGATTATCGGGCTACCTGAAGCCAAGAATTCGGCTGGGTCCTCAGCAATGTTCCAAATTGGCGAAGCCATACGGATCGAAGGCTCCGGTAGCCAACAAATCAAACACTTGGGGGATCTCATGAAAAAGAACAAAATCAGTCGCTGGGATGAACTGGTCCGACTGAGGAACCGCATGGTGAAGTACTATTCCCGGATCCAAGTCGAAGAGCAACCGTTTAGGCGCGTCCAGGACCTGGTGGAGCACGCACGGCGAGTGAAAGAAGCCCAAGGGACGTTCAAGTTCAACGAAAGTGTGTTGCAAACGAAGGGTGTTTTGCTGGCGAGCGCGCTTCTCATCCGGCTGGACATTGCACTGCTCGGCGACTTTCTCTCGCTTTACAACGCCGCAACTCCACTGGCGACCCGGCGCGAACTATTCGTCAATCTTCAGAAAAACATGGATGACTGCCACGGCCTGATTCAGCTTGCCAGCGAGCTGCATCGAGTCGCCCATCAAGTCGAGGGGTACGTCTTCCTTGCACAACTGTGCGCGCTGCAGCGATCACACATAAAAGAGATAGCGGATGCGGAGAGTCGGTTGGTTGAAGGACGGGATGCCCTGGATGCTGCCGAGCAACTTTGTAAGCAGTATCCAGGCCAAACTCAGGGGTTATCGGAAGAGATTGAGAGCGCCAAGGCCATGCTGAGAGGCTCGACTTTCTATAGCGCCGTCTCCAACGAAGAACGCATGGCGGTGATCACGGCCATGAACCGCGAATTCAGAGGCACCGGACATTGGTACTATTGCCCAAACGGACACCCCTTTACGATCGGCGAGTGTGGAGGCGCGATGCAAGTCTCGACGTGTCCCGAGTGTGGTGCCCAGGTTGGGGGCCGGAGCCATCAAACGGTCGACGGCGTTACGCGTGCGAATGACTTGGAAAACAGGGTTGCAAATCTGACAATTGGATGATGTGAGGTTAGACAAGGACGTACTTGAAGGTGTTGCGAGCACGGCTGTTGGCTTGTTGTCTTGTGTTGTTGATGGGTCACTTTGTGATGTTGGTGCGTGATAGGCTACATAATACATATGGAGGCATAAAATTCAGAATCAATTGCTTGTTGTTATGTGTGTAATTGTTCTAATTCTCTAGAGTTCTATTCAAGTCGTTGGTTTTATTAAGGTCGACTCAGGGTGACTCATGTTGGCTCATGTTGATGGAGGATTACTCAGTTGTCGGAACCTCTTACCAAGCATGATGATTTCATCCCCAACACCCAAATAGTATAAAATGAGCAGCAACCCAACTGGAATCACCTATTAATCATCGCATACTTCCAAGTACATCAACATGACTACCAGCCCTCCCCACAACATCCTGATCACCGGAGCCTCAGGCTACCTAGGAGGAACGCTCCTCTCCCGCTGGCAAGTAGCCCAACTACCTTCCCACGGCACCCTGTATGCTCTCGTGCGAACCGAGCAACAGAGCCAGGCCGTGCAGCAATACGGCACCACTCCATTGTACATCAACCTCGAAGACGACCAGAACATTGTCAAGACCATCATTGACCATGAAATCTCCATCATTTACTTCCTCATCGACGCCGCCAGCGCCCGCACCCAAGTCCCCATGATCCAGGCTCTGGGCCAAGTGCGCGAGCGCACCGGAAAGACCGTCCATTTCTTGCATACTTCTGGTGCTAAGCTATTTAGTAGCCACGCGGGACATCCGACCGATCATGCATTCTCGGATGCTGATCCAGGGCTGTATGAATTGCAGAGGACTGCGAAGCCGTCGCATCCGTGGCTTGGGCCGGTGTGTGCTCTTTGCTTCCCCTTTCTCTGCCTTCACTAGTAAATGAATACATACTTACTTGCGTTTAGGCCCTGGAGGCGAATAATACCGTAATCGCCACAGCAGAAGCGCATGGGGTGCGCAGCTACATCTTCATTCCGTGTGTGGTCTACGGACCGGGAGAAGGGTTCGGGAACCGCATCTCTATCCAGACGGTCGCGATTGTCAAGGCAGCTCTGAAAGCGAAGCGTGTGTATCGTGTGGATTCTGGACGGCCTGTATGTATATATTTTCACTTTTTGTTTTTCCTAATTACTTGATGCCAAGGCTAATGGGGAACAGGTATGGCCCGTCGCTCATATCCAAGATACAGTCAGCCTGTATCTGGATCTGCTGCGGAAAATGCTTCTCGAGGAAGCGCTGGATTCAGGGAGGCGGGGGTACTATTTGGCTGCCTCGGGCACGGTGGCGTGGGATGATCTGTATAGTGCTATGGCGCAAAGGCTGGCGGAAAGGGGAGTGATTGAGGATGCTACGGTGGCTGATGCCAATGATGCTGTCTTGGAGAAAATAGGCGAGGCGCTGGGTCGTCCCAAGGACTTTGTGCCTGTGGAATTGGGCGGAGGGTGAGTTCATCCAGAGGCTCTGTTGAGTGTGACCATTTACTGACGTCGATAGATGTGTGCTGGATGCCCAGCATGGACGGCAGATTGGCTGGCAGCCGCAATATAAAGCCGAGCATGCTCTCACCGCTGCAAAAGAGGAGGTGGATTGGATCCTGGAGCATCTGGACCGGGCCTGAATGGTATAAATATCGTAAGACGAGCAATCGACCCGTGTGCGTGAAGGATTCTATTTAGCGATTGACACTATGATTACATATAAGCCCAAGGAATAATATCAAGCGCCAGACATGACTAGCTATGGCGAATACAACAAGACCCTCTAATCCCAAACGGACGAAAAACATTCAGCAATATATCGTATATGGAAAGTAAAAACAACAACACAACCCATGCAGCAGTTATTGAATTCTTTAACGCAAGGTGGATGGTGCATGACTATTTGCCGTCTCTTCAGGCCTTGGAAAGCTCTCCTCTCATGCGGTCATAGTTGACCACAGCTTCCAGCAGCGTCTGGGTACCAAGAGCACTACACAGAAAGATCAGCAAAAGTATCAAGAACGACAAACGATGCGCACTTACCAATCAGCCGGACTACAATACTCCTCAGGATGATGGCTGACACCCTCCTTGCACGGCACAAAGATCATCGCCGTGGGACAGTGCCGACTGGTATACACACTATCGTGGCCCGCCCCGCTGGTCAATGGCATCCACTGGTTCTTGCCGACCAGCTGCGTAGCTGCATCCTGGATAGCGGTGATGCAGTGCTCGTCAAACTTCACCGCCGCAGAATCCGTGTCCAGCGTCCAGTCCAGCGAGACGCCATTGCCGTCCTCCAGTGCAATCTCAGCAAACGCCTGCAGACATTCGTCCTGGACCGTGTTCACCACAGCATCCTGGGGATGGCGGATGTCCAGGGTGAAGGTCACCTCGGAGGCAACCGTGTTGGTGGATGAACTGCGCGGCAGCTTCATCACCCCTGTGGAGGCGAGTGCCCCATGCCGTTTGGCAATGGCATTAGAGGCCACAATCATCTTGGATGCAGCGAGAACCGGATCCCGACGCGCTGCCAGTGGTGTCGTGCCGGTGTGGGCGTCACGACCACCCACAGTGATGGTGAACCAGCGGTATCCCTGTGCTCCACGCACGACACCCACCGATTTGCCCGCCTCTTCGAGAATCGGACCCTGCTCGATGTGCAGTTCGAAGTGAGCTCCCAGCGGATATCCAGTAGTTGGGTCATGGGAGCAGGCCACCGAACCGAGGAAGCCGTGGCGCTCCAACTCCGAGCGCAGGGTCACGGCCGGGTTGAAGATGTCTGTCAATTCCCAGGCTTTCTCGAGGGGGATTTCTCCTGCCCAGACACCTGAGGAGCACATGGACTTGGGGAATCGAGCACCTTCCTCACTGTAGTAGACTCAGTCATGAGAATGATGGTGTAGCAAGATAACAGACAACAGTGGTGAAAGACGTACTTGGTCCAGTTAACCAGTCCAATGTCGAAGTTGGTCCGGAACCCATTCTCCTTCATAGTGCGCAAGACCTCCAGGGCCGCAAGCACACCCAAAATCCCGTCATAACGACCACCCCTGGGCTGAGTGTCAAGATGGCTGCCCATGGCCGTCATGGGCGCGGGGGATCCCAAGGACCCTCGCTTCCGGGCAAACATGTTGCCCATCTGGTCCACCGTGACGGTGCAATCGAGCTTCTCAACCTCCTCTCGCAGCCAATGGCGCACTTTGGCATCATCATCGGTCAGGCAGAGTCGGGCCATGCCAGTCTCTGTCGGTCCCCTGCCGCTCAAACCCGTCAGACTGAATGTTCCACCCCAGAAAAAACTGGGAAAATCTCTATCGGGCGCATCACTTACTCGCCGTAGCGATGAGCAGCTCCCCATTCACATGTTTGATGAAGAGTCTCCATGAGACGATCCGGGTTGATGCGGAGACCTGAACCCGACGCGGTGGACAGCCAGCGGCGCGAGGCCGGGCGCGACAACTGGCGGGTGAGTGTACGGCCAAACATGGTCGGATGGGAGAGGTGCAGCTGTGATTACTGAACTCTACAAGATTTTTTTCATCTGACTGGAGTTTTATACCCAGTCATTGGATATACATGTATTAAAAAACGTGGGAGGGATTGAGTTTTCGGGTTTGCCTCTGCGCCTTCTGGGGACAAGTTGAAGAGAGGGTCTGTCGCGAGAGGGCGCATCCCTCTCGGCAACCGGGAATGAAGGTCTTTTTCCCCCGCCCTTTATATAAGGAATTGCACCACTCGGTCAGTGGGATGAATAACAACCAAGACGATATCCCATAGTCATGTCAGCTTTCCGCAGACCCATCTACGTGAATCCCAGCTCGTCCACGACCTCATCGGCGGGATCCCCCGGGGCGCTGGCCTTCCACCAACAGTTCCCCGGCTATGGGCCGAGTCCACTGGTAGCGCTGCCCGCCATGGCCGAGGAACTGGGCGTGCGCGCTGTCTACCTCAAGCAGGAGAGCAATCGCTTCGGTCTACCCTCCTTTAAAGTCCTAGGTGCCTCCTGGGCCATCTACCAGGCCATTCGCTCCTTTGTAGAGTTACCAGAGGGCACACCACTTGACATCTTGATCGAGCGGGTGCGCGCCCAGTCCGCCCCCATTACCCTCCTCGCGGCCACGGAGGGCAATCATGGCCGTGCGGTGGCCCGCGTCGCCCAGCAGATGTCGCTCCAATGCCGCATCTACGTTCCGTGCACGATGCACACCTACACCCAGGAAAAGATCCGCTCCGAGGGAGCCGAAGTGGTGGTGGTGGATGGGGACTACGACCACGCCGTCGAGACAGCTGCCACGGCCGCCAACCAACTGTCCCAGGGCATCCTGGTGCAGGACACGGCGTTGGAAGGCTACGAAGAGATTCCGGCCTGGGTGGTGGAGGGCTATGCCACCTTGCTCCAGGAAGCCGACACCCAACTACACGCCCTGGGCCTGCAGAACAGTCTCGTTGTAGCTCCGGTGGGCGTGGGGTCCTTCGCCCAAGCCGTAGCCACCTACTATAAGTCGCGCGACACGCCTGCCACCGTGGTAGCCGTGGAGCCGGATACCGCACCTTGTCTGACTCACAGCTTGCAACAAGGCCACCCAACCTCCGTCGTCACCAGTCCCAGCATCATGGCCGGCATGAACTGCGGCACCGTGTCGTCCGCCGCCTGGCTCCTGCTGAAAAAGCTGGTCGACGTCAGCCTCACAGTCTCGGACTGGGAGAGCCACTGCGCCGTGCAGGACCTGGCTGCCCAGTCAATTGACTCTGGGCCCTGTGGTGCCGCTTCGCTGGCGGCCATCCGTCGGCTCAAGGCGGAGGCTACATCTCCCTCGGCCTTCTTTTCGCCGGAGTCTGTCATTCTGCTGCTCAGCACCGAGGGCTCTCGCCCCTATGAGGTGCCAATGGATGTCTCCATGGATGAGCCGGTGTCACTGACGCAGGTGCTCACGCGGATCAACTCCTCCAATCCCACTCTGTCCAAGACGCAGGGCGCCGGGGAAGCGGCCATCACCAACTACCTCTGTGCCTGGTTCGCTCATCGTGCCATCGAGCACCACCGCATCGAGACGGCCCCCGGACGGCCTTCTGTGGTGGGCATCATCCGTGGCACCGGCGGCGGAGCGTCGGTTATGCTGGATGGACATGTCGACACAGTCAGTTTGACCACCTATGACGGCGATGCGCTCACAGGACATCTGGGGGTAAAGGATGGGAAGGAGGCCGTGTTTGGCCGCGGCACATTGGATATGAAGGGAGGTCTGGCAGCCGGGCTCTCGGCCCTTCTCGTGGCCCGGGAGCAACGACTGGCCGGGGATGTAATGGTAGCAGCCGTAGCAGACGAGGAGGATGCTTCGCAGGGCACCCAAGACGTGATTGCAGCTGGCTGGCGGGCTGATGCGGGGATAGTCCTCGAGCCGACTAACATGGCCATCGCGCACGCGCACAAGGGCTTTGTGTGGGTAGAAGTGGAGATTCTAGGCCGAGCGGCCCACGGCTCCCAGCCGGCGGATGGGGTGGACGCCATCTTGAACATGGGTCACCTGCTCCAGGCATTGCGCCAGTACCAGGCACAACTGCCCGTTGACCCGGTGCTGGGACCGGGGTCATTGCATTGTGGAGTCATCCAGGGCGGAGAGGAAGTGTCCTCATATCCTGCCAGCTGCACACTGACTCTGGAGTACCGTACGGTGCCGGTGCAGACCAACGAGAAGATTCTGGCCGAGCTGGGTGCCATCTTACAGCGACTGAGTCAAGAGCATCCCGACTTCCAGTACCGAGAGCCGCGCATCACGCTCTGGCGCCCCAGCCAGCATGTTCCCAAGGATCATCCCGTGGTGCAGCAATTGGTCCAGTTGGGTGCGGGTGTTCTCGAGAAACCTCCCCAGGTCGAAAGTGCTCCGTTCTGGTGCGATGCTGCATTGCTCACCGAGGCAGGGACCCCGAGTGTGGTGTTTGGCCCATCGGGGGCAGGCTTGCACTCGCGGGAAGAATGGGTGGAGGTGGATAGTGTGCGGCAGCTCCGGGAGATTCTGGGGCAATTCATCCAGCAGTTCTGTAAATAGAAATGATAGAGAGAGATGATAGAGACAGACACTATGTATATATGGGAGAGGCGATGTAGAAGACAAAAAAAAGGGAGAATTGGATCACCTTCAGCAATCGTTAGTGATATGCCCGATCGGCGAAGTTCATAGCGATTAGTCATGTGGTGACTCAAGCCTCAACTCCTGAGGCCAATCACAGGCTGAATTCGCCGATGGCACTTTCAGATTCAGCAGGCGGTGGAGAGGGAGCTACCGAGTTGTCCGCCCGCCTTCCCAAATGTAGCAGCTCTTCCCTTGTTCTTCCTCCAATTCTCCTCCTCGTCTACCTTTCATGTCGAACCTCTCTCTTGCCTTGTCTTGTGGACTGTCTTCCATGCTCTTCACTATGGCATCTCCCATAGTTCACTCTTCCTAGAAATCTGTTTTCGGTGGTCTGTCACCCTGCTAACCTACTACCTTCTCCCACGTCATGGCCGAATCCTCCCATCCCCCTCCCCCGCCATCCGCCGACGACGACCACTGGGCGCCCTGGCTGCCCTCCGCATACCCAGATGCTGTTCCAGGCTTGGTAAACGCGGAGGCGCTCTCATCTCTGTCTCCTTCTTACTCGCAGAATGATTGCGGCTCGCTGGACATGCTTTCCTCCGATAACTTCAGGACCTCGCAGCCGGATCCAACTGACGACACGACGATCATCCCCCCGCCCGATGACTATGTCAATGTCTCCCAGTGGCTCGCTGGCGCCTATCGGCCTCCTGTCCCCTGCACCTACTGTCAGCAACACCGACTGCAGTGCCTTGTCATTCGCACCACCCCGGCCAATCCGAACCCCGTCACCGCCTGTTCCAGTTGCGTCGCGCTCTTCCGCGAATGTAGCCTCGCCCGTGGCGAGAAGCGTCACCCTGCAGGCTTCGAGACCGTTTTTCCCGTGTTCAATCATCTACATGGCGTAACCGAGTGGACCGAGGAGGAGCTGTTCCCCACTCCGCACGCATTTCCAGTGTCGGCCTCATCAAACGACCAGGCGCAATCAGCGCATGACCAGGAAAAAACAGAAGAAGACGTACAGCAGAAGCCGCGGTTCTCTCGAAAAGGAGCCAAGATATTGCGGGATTGGCTGTATCGCAATCAACACGCTCCGTATCCCACAGACGAACAGAAAGCTGCGTTTGCCCAGCAGACCGGCCTCACTGAGAAGCAGATATCTACTTGGTTCGCCAATGCCCGACGGCGCCACCGAATGGTCCACCGCACCTCCCGACCGAGTCAGATCTTCCGGAGTGGCTCCCCAATGCCCATTGCCCGGTCGGCGGCCTTGACTCCAATGGAACGCTGGCAGCGATCCCCGCCGGACCAAGAGCCTGTATCCGAGTCGGTTATTCAGCAAGCTATTGCCGCTGCCGACACTGATGCTCCGTGGAATCACCCCAGCACGTCTGGCAATGCAAGTCCCAGCTCTCACCATTTCGCGTCCTCCATTTCGAGCATCGACAGTGAAACGTCGCAGGCTTCGTCTGAGAGTTTCTCATCCGCCTGGAGTCATCAGTCCGAGAGCTATGTGCCGTTCCCACTGTCAGATGGGCGGCCGCGATCCCAGTCCCGTCGCAGACGGCCCAGACGCCAGTCGGCAGCGGCGAGCCCATACCAGTGTACCTTCTGTGTGGACGGTTTCAAGAAAAAGCATGATTGGGTCCGTCATGAAAAGAGCGTACACCTGTCGTTGGAGTCGTGGATATGTAGCGTGGGATCGGGCGTTCTGGATCTGGCCGGCTTGGAGGTATTACGATGCGATTTCTGCGATTACTCTCCACTTACTGAATCACATTTCTCGACCCATGAGTTCGATGTGTGCGCGGATCGTCCGCTATCGGAACGTTCCTTCCGACGCAAAGACCACTTGATCCAGCACTTTCGCAAATTTCATCACTGCACGACGGTCCCCGCCCTACGCATTGAGGCCTGTCGCGTTGTCACGAACGATGTGCAAAGCCGGTGTGGATTTTGCCAATTAGTCTTGCCGACGTGGGCAGCACGCGCAGATCATCTGGCGGAGCACTTCAAGAACGGACGGCGCATGGCGGACTGGTCGGGGGACTGGGGGCTGGACCCCTTGTACCAGGCCATGTTGCGAGATGCCGTCTTGCCCGCGGATCGGTTTGTCTACTCCGACGGGGGGTCCTGACTGTTTCAGATGCCACGTCTCAGCTGTCATGGCTTATAACTACCGTCGGCCACTGTGTGGGTGGTTCTCAAACGCCTAGACGGGTGGGTAGAACTACTCTTCGCATTCTCAACTCATGACAAGGGCCGTGACCGGCGTCTACCCCTCAAAAGTTCTAACCGGATAATCATACGCAGGCCGACTACGTGCGGGCGATCAAGCCATCTAGACTAGGTCTCCAGTGGGCTCGTCCCGGCGGGTAGGTGCGGTTTGAGGTCTACCTGGGACGGCGCCGTCTCTTCGATTTTTACCCGTACAGGCCCTCTTGAAGGAAGTTTGATCTGCATATTCGCGGCATGTCTTGGTCGGTCTGTTGCGCCACTAATGCCCGACAAATTAGTATGCACCTTTGGTGCCGGGTCTGGAGACAACTTAACGTAGAGCAGGACCGTGGAGGACGTAGGATGTATCGAACTCTTGGTCTGTAAGATCCGTGTCATAGTCTATGCATGATTTGCAACCTTGTTCCTAGACAGCGTTCCAGTGATGCGACTACATAAAGACAATTCCTGGTATCCAGCAATTGGACTGCTGCCAGGTACTTGACATTGTTCCTTCTTTTCATCAAAGCACTAGCACAACCTGCCCGAAGAAATATAATATTCGCAGTCATTGAAATTGGTCTTCTGGTTGGATCAAGAATACCGAACCTCCATGTTGGCGACTTTGACGACTTGTCAGTCAGACCTACAACCTCCGCCATGAACCACAACCCAGTATATAGATAATCATGTATGGTTGGACCTTTGATGTTGCCAATCCAAGGTTATTACTACTAGTAGTTATCAAGCAACTGCAATCTGGCATTGGGTAGATCCGATTTCATAAGTTCAAGTGAACTTGTGTTGATCTAACGGGTGGAAATCTACTAATATATAGTGGAAGTCCCTTGAGATAATTGCGCCATATTCCTTCTCCCGCCCATCACTTACTATACTTTATATGAAGAAATCGGCCCTATATAAACTGTGGAAATTCTAATGAAATTACGTATACAATGCCTCGCCCCCAGTGGATTAGGTTTGCCATACTTCAAAAAGGATCAGGATATTTCTTACTAAGTACTTTTCTTTAGAGCTGCAATATTTCGTCCTTTATTTTCTCAGTCTTTTTAAGCTTGTCTTGCTCAAAATCTATTCACTCATGACTTGCTCTGCTTGGGACAATCTATTCCTCATTTCTGTAGCCTTTTCAAACCTGCCTTGTCGAGAATATATGGAAATAAGTCTTTCCATACTTTCACGAGAATAAGGATGTTGCTCACCAAATACTTCTCTTTGCAGCTGCAATACTCCCTCTCCTATTTTCTCGGCCTCCTTAAGCTTGCCTTGCCCACAGTATTTTGACACAAGCACTCCTATACTATGAAACACTCCGTGCCATGGCGTCCTGGCCTCATTAAGCTTGCCTTGCTCGCGGTATATTGACATAATGTTTGCCATGCATTGCAACACTTTGTCAACCACTTTCTCGGCCTCCTCAAGGCTGCCTCGCCAACAGTATATTAACACAAGCTTTGTCATGCTTTTAAGCATTTCACCTCCCATTTTCTCAGCCTCGTTGAGCTTACCTTGCTCGCGGTATATTGCCACAAGATTCGCCATGCATTGAAATACTTCATCCCCAAGTTTCTCAGCCCTCTCAAGCTTGCCTTGCTCTTGGTATATGAACACAAATTGTAGCATGCTTTGAAAAGTATCAGGATATTTCTCACTGAGTATCTCTCTTTGCAGCTGTAATACTTTGTCCCCTATTTCTTCAGCCTCTGTAAGCTTACCTTGTCTATAGTAAATTGACAGAAGCTTTGCCATGCTTTGAAGAGTATCAGGATGTTTCTCACTGAGTATTTCACGTTGCAGCTGTAATACTTTGTTCACTATTTCTTCGGCCTCTGTAAGCTTGCCTTGTCTATCATATATTGACAGAAGCTTTGCCATGCTTTGAAGTACTTCGCCTCCCATTTTCTCAGTCTCCTTAAGCTTGTTTTGCTTGTGGTATATGAACATAAGTTCTAGCATGCTTTGAAAAGTATCAGGATGTTTCTCACTGAGTATTTCTATTTGCAGCTGTAGTACTTTGTTTCCCATTTCTTCAGCCTCTGTAAGCTTGCCTTGCGCACGGTATATTGATGTAAGGTTTGCCATGCTTTGAAGAGTATCAGGATGTTTCTCACTGAGTATTTCTCTTTGCAGCTGTAATACTTTGTTCCCCATTTTCTCAGCCTCCTTAAGCTTGCCTTGTCGGAGGTAAATTGACACAAGGTTTGCCATGCTTTGAAGAGTGCTAGGATGTTTATTACCAAGTATTTCTCTCTGTATTTGCAGTACCTCAATTCCGGTTTTCTCAGCTAACTTTGATCGGCCCTGCTCATTGTAGAGCTGTGCGAGACTGGCCATTCCTTCAAGAACGTGGGGGTGCGTATTGCCGAGCTTCTGCCGCCGTAGTTCCAGGACCCTGATCGCAAAGGCATCTCCAGGTGTAGGATGGCCACTTGATGTCCGTGGTCTCCCGAGGCCCAACATTTCCTGTAACGTATGTTCGATGGTGGAGAGCTGGTGCCTGGGGTTTCTCTCTTTGCAGATTGCTTCCAGTACCTTGATGTATATGTCTTCCACTGTTAGGTTGTAGTCCGCCTGGATTGGATTTTCCGAAGCAAGACCAAGCAGGGCATACACTCGATCCCTTATATCTGAACTTTTATGTCTTGCATACGTAATCAGCAAGTCCGAGAGGGGTAAGTGCGGGTCATCTTGGGGAAGGCTATCCCATAGCGTTTTCTGCGCGACCATTACCGAACCTATACACTTCGAGATACCCAATGAATCATGATGGGCGACATGGGTTTTGATCTTCTGGCGAAGAGATGCCAACTGATGCCAAGTAAAGCTGGTTCTGCCGCAGTAAAATATGACGTCTTTTTGCGAGCATGAGCTCTTGGACGATCCATATGCGACTCCAATACGGTTGCTCCAGTAGACTTTTCAACGCTTCCTCCAAGGCTGATGTGGTTTCTTTAGTTGGTAAACCTGGATTTGCGATATATCTAATGGCGAGGTCACTGGAATCAAAGCCTTGGCCTAACCATACCACCGTGAGTGTTGCTCCGGCATATATATCCCTCATCATGTTGACTTGGTGATTCCGCTCCGAAATACTGGACTGATCGATACATATAGCGTCAATCCAGAAAAGCTGCCATCTCCTGCAAGAGTTCATAGTGTCCAGAAATTTCCAAAGATTTTCTTGCACGTAGAACTCCGCATCGTCCAACTCAATCGATCGCCTGCTTTGCGGAGAACCCCAGGTGTATGATAAAGCAACGTAAGACGGACGGCAGGTTTGGTCGACAACATGTAGTCTGCAGCGAACCGATCCATATGCTGTAGATGGCAGCAATTCAAGAAGCCTAATACATTTAGAGGACGGATCTAAAGGAGAATAGGTGAAAGCTTGCGCCATTTGACCGATGAGAAATGAATTGCTTCGCACTAAGCTTGTTGAACTTGTAATAAGTTGACCCAGTACTTGTTATATGATTCTTCGTTGACTCGTTAGGCATCTAGTCGGGCTGACAAAATCCTAGCCTCACAGCCACATGATGACGTGGTCATATGTGGCTCAATCTGCGGGGTCAGCATTACTAGACACAGCCTACAAGCGCCTGCACTCGCAGAGCAATGCCAAAACTGTCCAGCTCCGATGTGGCTTTGTTGTGGCAGTTGTGGCAGTTGTGGCAGTTGTGGCAGTGTTGACTAGCATGTCGTTCCTTCCCTCGGTAAATGTTTTGCCTCAAAACTGGATCATCTCTGTTATTCAGCTACACAGATACTAAATTTTGCGTCGTTTAATATAGTTAACAGTGGATTACAAGACGGATTCTCTGGATCACAATATGTTATAGGATAATAGAATCTAAATTCTGTATACTGTTCTCCCACAGCTCACTGGGCTGTATTTATATACCGTTTCGTTTCGCCCCCAGCGCTTAACGTTGCGTCTGTCGTCAACTCACCGTCAAAACACAGAAAGAAAACATTCCTCTTCCGAAAAGCGAGTGGTATACTAATTTGTTTCGAGAGCCGCTGATGCTATCGGAGCAGATTCCGGCGTCTATCTCACCACCGCATTCACGAAGCTTTCTGTTGGTTACCGAGGAGGTTCCTCTTTTGTCAAGATTTCTTGACGGGGGTCAGTGTCCTTGATATAACCTGTCAGGACGAAGGGTCAAAGATATATGGATTTGATCTATCTGATCTCAAGAGAGTGGTTGGTTGTGTTGGAAGAGGTGGTGGTCAGAGACCACGCAGGAAGAAGAGGCAAAGGATCAGCTGACAGCTGCCTGGCTGCAGTGAGTGTCTCAACATAATTAATAAATATAGAGACTGCAGGCTTCTTTGACAGACAGAGGAGATCTTGTCATGTACTAACCTGTCTATTTAAAGTAGTCCAATCAATGTCAGATTTCTCTAAACATTTTGTAAGATCACGCTGTGAGCGGTCATTAACAGGAACTACGACTGAGGTATCGTCTGACTTCACACACCGGTTATGGTTTCGGTCTTTTTTTATATTCTTAGCTGAGACCCGATTGTTGAGCGTCATCCTCTACTCATAAACAGTATATGAGAAAAACATTCATCATCTATTGCTTCATTAGCTAAATCAGCATGATCAAGAAAACATATTATACCAGTTTAAGATTGAGCTAGAGACAAGAAGCATTCACCAAGAAGAGAAAAGCTATGTTCAAAGAATATATATTCACAGCCAAAGCCACCAGAAATAAGAGCATACAATGGTAATCATTCCTGAGTCCCAGCCTGGGAAGCATTGCAGTTATCAAGAGTTGAAGTAAATGTTACTCCTCAAGAGGCATAGGATATAACTCGGAAGCTTGAAACGAGGATCGTCGTATATTAACTTTCACCCAGGAGATTTACCTTGGTTTTAACAATGCTGACCAATTAAAAATTATGATAAGTAGAATCATTTGTATTGCGCTACTTAGCTCTTTCAGTCTGCAGCAAGCAGCCCCATTCCAGGATAGCATTATAAGAACAGAAAGATGGCTGTTGACAGTTTGCCCGATCCGCCAGGCACCCGCTGCGGTTTCGCTGGTTGCATAGAACCCTCCAGTCCTGTCCGGGTCTCCGACCGCCGCGAGATCCCGCCGGACTTCTGTATGGACTGAGTTCCGCGCTGGCTTAGTACTTCTGACCGGGTGATCCACACGGAGACCAGTCCTTCGGATCGCTCGAGACACCAGCAGCAACATCACTTTACTATCCCAGCCGTCCAGGCAAAACTTCGTATATACATTTGTCTACTGGAAGATATATCACACCAAGGGGCACCCCAAGGCCCCCGCCAGGGGGTATGCTTTTGTACAAACGATGAGGAGAAGAGGTATCGTGCAAGAGTCGTCATCATGAAATCCGCATCACTTTCTTCAGCCCGTGTAGGGACACGGGCTTGACCAAATACTCATCCACCCCAGCCGACAGCGCTTGTTGCTGCCGGTCCGCCGACCCCAACCCGGTCACCGCGATAATGCGCGAGGTAATGAGGCCGTTCTTCTTTTCGTAGCGTCGGATGTGGTCCGTCGCCACGATGCCGTCCATGACGGGCATTGAAATGTCTATTCCGCACGGTCAGTTGAACACTCAGGGCGCCAAGACAGGGAGAGGAGTCTTACCCATTAGGATGAGATCGTGGCGCCGAGTGGCCTCCTTGTACGTGTTCAGGGCAAGAAGTCCATTGGACGCAGTGTCGTAGCTGCAGCCAATCTTTCGAATGAACGTCGCCAGAATCTATGCATCACAATCAGTCATGACCGGCAAGAATCAAGAATATGGGGAGTGTGGTCGACGAACCTTGAGATTAATGTCGTTGTCGTCTACGATGAGCACGTGTATATCCTTGGGAGCCTTACTGGGCGGGTGAGAGTGGGCGGGCTCCAAGGGCGTACAGGGGGAACCGAAATCAATGGCCGAATCTGGGCCACTCGGCGGTGTCAGAGCGGGCGATGCAGACAGGGAGGGCTGTAGTGGCACTGGTGCCGGTCGCGACGGCGGGCGATTCAGCGCAGCTTCACGGGCCAAAGTCTGCACCCGCCGGATGGCGTCGTCAAATTTCTGTGGTCCGAAGCTATCCGACTGTTAGCATAGAACTGATCACGAAAGGGGGTGGGTTGTAAGGTCCACATACGGCTGAGATACTCGAACCACATTCGGTGCCAGCGCTTCGACTTGCGGCAATGGCTTGTTGCTATCCAGTACGATGAAGTATCTGAATCCGCGCTGCATCATCAAGTCAAGGGGAGATGATTTGTCTGGCGTCGGAAGCAAATCACCCTGCTCCACCACGGCTACGTCGCCCTGCGCGCGGTCCAAGGACTCGGCCAGCGCCAGCGTCCAGCCTGGTTGCTGAGCGAGCACCGAAGTCAGCGAGCTCCGAATGGCCAGCTTGCGTTTGGCTTCCGCCGGCAGGATGCCCGTAGGGATCTCCCGCGGGTTGGGATAACCGTCAAATCCGATCAGGCAGGCTGCCATGGACGGCGGTGGCGTGGCGAATTCGTCCGGGCTACCGCGACGGGACGCATGCGCCGCGCTGGGATGCACGGGGATGTAGATGTCGACCTGCGTCCCCACGCCGACCTCGCTGCGCACGTCGATGTGGCCTTCTAACGAGGCCACCAGCTGGCGCACAATGCTAAATCCCAGCCCAAGACCCTCCGACAATGAATCCTCCTGCGTAAAGGGAGAGAAGAGCTTGTGCCGGAGGAAGTCCGGACTAATGCCCGAACCAGTGTCAGTGACGGACAGATGCGCCAAGACGGTGTGGGGATTGGACTCGCGGCGGGCCTTGGAGAGCGAAACCTCGACAAAACCGGCCTTGGTCCACTTCAACGAATTGCCCAGCAGGTTCATGACGATGCGTCGCCAGGCACCAGCGACAGACTGGATCTTCCACATGCTCCGCTCCTGGACACGCACCACGACTGTGAGTTCCCCATCCGGCGGCGTAGAGGTCGGCTGCGCCGGGCGTCCCGTCAAGGGAGCCACCGCCTGGGCCAATCGCTGGCCCGTATACTGGACATCGGTGACCTCTTCGATGAGGTCGTCGAGGTCGAATACGGTTAAAAGATTGGTCACGCTGGGCTTGGACTGGTCGGGGCTGGCCTCCTCCGTCGTCGTCAAGTTGTTGATCTTGGCGAAGTCCAGGCTGTTTTGCAATTAGCAGGGGGTGGTGCGGAGAACCATTAACGGGCAAGACACTTACAGGTGGTTCAAGGTATCCAGCAGAGTCAATCCACAACTCTTGACCATGTTCATCCAGTGAGCCTGACTCGAATGCAGTGGGGTCGTCTGCAGCAGTTCTGCGCTGGCCAGGATGCCATGCAGTGGTGACCGCAGCTCATGGCTGACGGAGGAGATGAAATCCGACTTGGACTGCTGGGTGCTGGCCCAATCCACGCGGGCCACCTCGGAGATGATCGAGTCCCCGAACACCTTGAAGTAATGCAGCTCGTCCACGCCCAGCGCGCGATTGCTGGCCTGGGTCCAGACCAGGGTGCCCGCCAGCCAGCGCGATTGATTCCAGTCCCATAATGGGTAGAAGAGCACACAGTAGGCATCTGGTAAATGCTGGCGAAGTCGACGGCAAATGTTGGACATCGTATGATCTCCTTCCGACCGCTCCTCGAGCGATGGCGACAGGGATTGACCACCCTCCTCGTCGATCCAGTCCTGCAGATTAAAGAACTGGCCGTGTGGGAAGGCGGCAATCATTTGATTGAGAAGGGCCTCCGTGATGGATTGACTGGCGCAGACCTCATCTTGTTGTGCGCTCCCTAGCACTTCACACGGCTTCTCCGAGATGTTGGAAAGGGAGCCCACCCCGGGAAAGTCGACGGGGCTGGGGTAGGGATCGGCGAGAAACTCGGGGTTGGCGGTGGTAGGGAGAGGCTCCCAGGACCCGGGGTGGCCGGGGCGAACACTGCTTGATTTTGTTAATACGCCTCTGCGATCGGTAGGCGGGACACGGTACTCACACTCCGGCATTACACCGACAGGCGTCCAGAAACATCACCCCATCGAGGTCCATGGAGTCGCGCAGGGTGAGGCTGGCGCGGGTGAAGATGCGAGACAGGCTTTCGGAGCGGGCCTCGCGTTCGATGACTGACACGACCGGATACTCGGTGTGGTCGGACACCACCACGCTGGAATCGTGCGTCTCCGATCCGTCGGGCGGAAGGGTCTCGTCCGGGACCGCGACCGGGAAGGGGCGGGGACCCGGCACGTTCACAGAGGTCGAGGTGGCGGTGAGCTCGGAGCAAGTGACCGCAGAGAATAACGAGGCCAACTCCCCCGTCATTTCCGAGGAGGCGGACTGGAGCTGCGTGGGAGGAGTTCGCAGCGGGTCGTCGGTTAACGACAGGGGCTGCGGGGGTGCAGGCTCGGTGGTCGGCACCAACGTCGCCCCCTGGCTGGGGCCCGGCATGTCGGTCGGGTCGAAGGCGGGATGATCTTTCACGAAACTGGTCAGACCCTTGACGAGGCTCTCGGCGCGGCGATGCGAATGGGCGATGCGGACGTGTTCGAGGTGCTGGGTGACGGCATCGGCCACCTCACGCAGGGAAGCGATTTCCCGATCCCCGAAGACGGAGCGCGGCTTGTCGTCGATGACGCAAAAGGAGCCGAGAACATGACCGGCGGGACTGTACAGCGGGACCTCAGCGTAGAAGCGGAAATAGGGCCATCCGGTGACATAGGGGCGATCTTTGAAGAAGTCCTCCTGGGTGAAGTCCCGAACGACGAAACGGGAGGTATTGGCGGTCACGTTGATGGAGTCGACGAGCTTGGACGGATCCTGACCGGTAAACAGGGCAATGGAATGGGGACAGACTCCCCAGACCAGGTCGAGGGTGCGGACCCCCAGGTAGATGCCATCGTCGGGGTCATGCTGATCCTTATCGCGCAAGGAGATGGATTTGGTGGCTTCGGCAATCAGGTATTGGTTGGAGCCGTCAATGATGGAGATAAAAGCGCGATTGCAGGCAAAGCGAAAGACAGCCAGCTGAGCCAGTGCCGTGAGCGTGATGTCGGACGACAGCCGGACGTCGGGAGTGGTGGAGGCATCCCCATCGGCGGCAGAGTGAGTCTCTTCTGCGGCCGCTTCCAGACGGAGGGCGGGACGATCAACGGTGCAATAGTACCTGTGAGAGTGACGATGCGAGCGCGATGCTGGTCAGGATTTTGTCTTTATGATAGTATGTATTTAGAGGAAGGGGGAGAAGGTGGGGATCGACATTGCAGGGAGGATCTGATCTGCTCTGATCCTCTCGGGGAAAAGGCGGAGAGTTATTATGACATACCGGGACAAGTCACGAATTCTCTCCCGCTCAGCCTCAGGGTGCTGAAAGGAAGCCGCCATCACTCACGGGACGCTGCTGGCATATCGTAGGAGGGAAGAGGGATGGAAGATAAGAAGGAAACTAAGGCAAAGGAGGAAGAGCGTAAAAGAATTGGAGACGGGGGGTGCAAAAAAACCCGAGGAAGGCAGAAGCCACAGTCGGAAAAAGAAAGCGAGGGAAGCAGAGGAAAAGAGAGGCGGACGACGGCAAGAGATGGTGGTGGGCAAACGAAGGAATGTGGGGAATTAGCGGGAAAAGGA